CAAGAACAGTAAAAGCAAATTTTTCTTGATCACTAGGTTGTAATGGAATGATAAAAAAACAATCCTCAAGCTCATTTATAATAATATGCCTTCCTTCTGGGATCACAAGGTAAAAGAAGACCTGGCTGTAAAACCACATAGGCCTGGGCAAAGATGATAGTATCATGGCTCCCCCAGCCCCCGGCTCGGCCACCGGCGGCTCTGGGGAAGGTGCACGAGCTGTTTGACGTGAAGAACGCCTTCTACATTGGCAGTTACCAGCAGTGCATTAACGAGGCGCAGCAAGTGAAGCCTTCGAGTCCAGAGAGGGACGTGGAGCGAGACGTCTTCCTGTACCGAGCATACCTCGCACAGAGGAAGTATGGTGTGGTGCTGGATGAAATCAAGCCCTCCTCCGTCCCGGAGCTGCAGGCTGTGCACATGCTTGCCGAGTACCTTGCCAGCGAGAGCCAGAGGGACGCTGTGGTGGCACACCTGGACCGGGAGATGAGTCGCAACGTGGACGTGACCAACACCACCTTCCTGTTGATGGCCGCCTCCATCTACCTGCACGACGGGAACCCAGATGCTGCGCTGAGGGCCCTGCACCAGGGTGACAGCCTCGAGTGCTCGGCCATGGTAGTGCAGATCTTGCTGAAGCTGGACCGCCTGGACCTTGCCCGGAAGGAGCTGAAGAAGATGCAGGACCAGGACGAGGATGCCACCCTCACCTAGCTGGCCACTGCCTGGGTCAATCTGGCTGTGGGTGGTGACAAGCTGCAGAACGCATACTACGCCTTCCAGGAGCTGGCCGACAAGTGCTCGTCCACCCTGCTGCTGCTCAACGGCCAGGCCGCCTGCCACATGGCTCAGGGCCGCTGGGAAGACGCTGAGGGCACGCTGCAGGAGGCACTCAATAAGGACAGTGGCCACCCAGAGACACTGATCAACCTCATTGTCCTGTCACAGCACCTGGGCAAGGCCCCTGAGGTGACCAACCGCTACCTGTCACAGCTGAAGGATTCCCACAGGTCCCATCCATTCATAAAGGAGTACCAGGCCAAGGAGAATGACTTTGACCGGCTGGTCCTGCAGTACGCTCCCAGCGCATGAGGCTGACCTGACCCCGACCACATCCTGCGTCCATCCCACCAGCACCCACCACTTCTCGGCCAGACCCTGGAAGCCTGGTGCCAGCACCCCCGTCTCCCACCAATAAAAAGGGGCACCACCCCCAAAAAAAACCAAAAACAAAAAACAACCACATAGGCTTTATGACCTCATTAATTTTTCTCAAATCAGTTAACATTCTCCATTTACCTGATTTGTTTTTTGTTACAAACACTGGAGAATTCAAAGGACGAATTAACTTTCCAATGTGCCCTGGCAGGAATTGTTCTTCAGTTAATTGTCCTAAGGGTTCTAGCTTTTCCTTTGTTAAGGGCCACTGTTAAACCCATATTGGCTTATCAGTTAACCAAGTTAATGGAAGGGCAAAGTGTGAAATAGTGGTCTTCATTATAACTCTGGACAGCCTAATCCTCTTTTACTATGATAAACTTTTGGTTCTTTGAAGGGGACGATCCCTTGTTGTTTCTTTCCTAATCCTTTACCAGGGAGATAGTTTATGTTTAATATAATATTCTTAACCTGTTCTAATATCATAGGAATTTGCAACATGGCTCCCCATTGAACTGGCAAATCTCTTCCCCATAATGTAACTGCAATATCTGCAATGAAAGGCTGTAATTTTGCTAACTGTCCTTCAGGTCCTTTACAATCTAACAAATACTTTCCTTTAGTCCTGTCATAGTCCCTATTCCTGTAAAAGTAACAGAAACATCTTTTAATTGTAGTTCACTAGGCCAATGATGAGTAGCAGTAATAGATACATCAGCAACAATATCAACTAATCCTTGGATTTCATATAATTCTAATTTTAGTCATTTGAGGATGGGTATTTTTAATGATAGTATTCTAATAGATATTAGTCCTAGTACTACCAAACCCTCCTTGTCTTTTTATTGGAGCTGCCCTTTGTTTTATACAGGGAGGGAGCAATAATTGAGCTCCCCTCTGGCCTTTTAAAAAGGTTTGATGTTGTCAAGTAGACATCATTATAATTATCTCCCCATTATAATTGAGATCTATCACCCCAATATGTATGAATATTCCCTTATTAAATGACTTCTTCCTATAATCAATCTTACAGTATTTTTAGTGATCTTATTTCCATGTGACAGCCTCTGCTTACTGGATAATGAAGACAACTTGCTTGTTTTAACACCTCTAGTTTCTCTCTAGTGAGGGGCCAATGCTCTACCCTGCGCCTGTTCTGTTACAAGGAACAAGGCCCTTAGGCTTGGGAAAACCTGCTTTGTTTCTTAGCACTTTAGAAAGTCTAACATTTTGGATTTTTTTAAATTGTATTATTTTTATGTGTACCGTCAAATCAGATCTGACTGGTACAAGAGGAGATTGCCCCCTCCTTCTCCAGTAACATTTTGGATTTTACGGGTAGTCAATCAAGAGTACTTGGCTTCTGTGATACATATTTTTATAATTTTTGTTCTTTACATTTACCTTGGGAACTAAATTACATTTTCTTTCTTAGCTATTTCTAAACTTTTAGATCACGTTATCTATACAGCTGTAAAAGAATAGTTTGTGTGTTTATTTTTGGCATTTTGGACTACCAAAGATAAACAGGCTGGCCAGCTTTATGACTGCCAAACACAGTCTATTTTAAATTTTTTTTTACTAATTTAGAGATTTATCCTTTAAAAATCTTTCAGCTGCAGCTTCTAATTTATTTATCTTCACTCCATTATTTTTTACTTTCTTCATCTTCTAAATTAAGAGTTTTCTTTTATGTAAGCTTCATTCTTACATCTTCCACTTTTCTTATTTTAATGAAATTATTAGATTATATGAGCTCAAAACTATTATTAAACTAAAGGCAAAAAACAAAGAAACAACAACAACAAACTTAAACAAAAACCAAAACAATCAACAAAAACACTTACAGACTTCTGCTTTGAGACTTAGCACCTTTCTTTATTTTTCTAAACCATATTTTAAATTGTAAATAATTTCCCAGGAAGAGCACTGTTTGGGTCAACACATGCCAATTAAGAGAAAATAAGAATTCAGGATTGCCTCTTTATAAAGGTGATAAAGCCTGTTTCTTGCCTTCGGCTTTAACCTTCTCTTAAAAGATGCCCTCATCATCCTGGTAGGTTTGAAGTTCTGACCTTTTGGTTAGCAGCCCAACAGATAACTCATTACACCACTTGGACTCTTGGAACCTCTCCTGCGCTGACTGTCCACCTTTCTGAGCATAATGTCCTTCTCCAAGGACCGATCTCTCCTGTCCATGTGTCCAAAGTAGGTGAGGTAGAGCTTCAAAATCCTAGCCTCCAAGGAAAGACTTGCTTTCACCCTCTCCAAGACAAACCTGTTTGTTTCTTGGCAGTCCATGGTATGTTCAGGACTCTTCTACAGCATCACAACTCAAAGGCATCTATTCTTCTTCTGTCATCCTTAGTCATTGTCCAACTCTCTGAAGCATAACAAGTAATTGAGAAGACCATGGCCTGGATTAGGCACACCTTTGTATCTAGACTGACATCATTGCTCTTCAGCACTCTGGAGAGGTCAATGACAGCAGATTTTCCCAATGCAATTCGTCTTTTGATTTCCTGACTGCTGGTGTTAAGAGTGTTGATTATGGATTCAAGCAAGCTGCAATTGCTAACAACTTCAATCTCTTTTCCACCTAATACGGTGTTGACAATTGGCCCAGTAGTGATCCAGTAGATGAATAGCAATCTCTTCCCATGCAATTATACAGCTTCTGAAATCTTGCTGGATGTGACTTGGTAACAATGAGTGTGTGCGTGTGTGTAGTTGATTAATAATGTTAATTTATGAATGGTGTTTTGGGTTCCTCAATCAGTTAGGGACTAGAAAGGGGCTGTAAGACCAACATTCTTAAAATTGTTAACCAAGGAGAACAGAGAACCTTTCACAACTTGGTAATAAAGACTTGCTTCATGAAGAAACCAGACCAAAAAAAGAAAAGAGTTCTTCACGTATTATTCCATTCATATGACATTCTAGAAATGAATATTAATCTACAGTGCCAGAAAGCCGATTATTGGATGCCCGCGGTAGGAGTAAAAAAAGAGATGCGACACTTGGAAACTTCTCAGGGTGATAAAAATGCGGTGGTGGTTCTGCCGCACACACCAAATTGAAAAAGTGCAGTTACGTGAATCATTAGCACCCCCAAAAAACTGATTACAAACAAGAATGAAATGACTGTCTGCTTGCATCCTTTGCCCGTTTCTCTGCTGTCTTCGGACTTCTATGTTTTCAGAGTTCATTTATTTACATGCCTGTCTGATTTGAGTCCAGCGGTCAAGATAGTTAAAGATGGCATCGCACATCTGTTAAATGTTTGTTAAAATTGAATGAAGGAATTTAATTCGTTCTCATTACCTTTTGGCGACGTTAACATTTTCTTTTACAGAAAAGCGTTCGAGACACATGTTGTTGTTGTTGTTGTTGTTAGGGGCTGTGGAGCCCTGCATCATCCTTATCATCCCAGACACACCTGAGCTCACTGCTTCACAGTACTAGTAAATAATCAAAATTGGAACTACAATCTAGGGGTGTGTGTGTGTGTGTGTGTGTGTGGTCAAATCAGATTTGACTGGTACAGGAGGAGATTGTTCCTCCATCTCCAGCAGAGCATCTGGTGGATTTGAGGCTTTGTGATTTTTAAACCGAGGATTTACTTAAATTGTTCCCTATCTCCTGTAGATATTACTGTCTGAGTCCTGCTTCCAGGATCTCAACGGAGTATTTTAGGTTTTTTAATGTTAGCAAGATCACGCACGTTCTGCTATGCGCATGTGTCTACTCGTTTTCCCACGGTAAGAGTCCTCCTTTCATCTCCTTCCGCGTCCACGTCTTTTGGCCCCAGCGGCTCGCCATCGGCCGTGCGGGGGCGCTGGCTAGTTGAGGCAATGGCGACTGGGGCGCCGGATTCGCAAGCGCGGTTCGGCCAGTCCGTGAAAGGGCTTCTCACCGAAAAGGTGAACACCTGTGGGACTGATGTGATCGCGCTCACGAAGCAGGTGCTGAAGGGGTCCCGGAGCTCCGAGGTGAGGTGGAAATGGGCTCTGCGAGACAACATCGCGAAAACTGTCCTCATTTCTGCGGCAAAACACCGAGGGGTCGCGGTGCATCTTGGGAGTTGTAGGCTTTGCCCTTGTTGCCGGGAGTGTTGCGGAGGCGCGTGTTGCATTTTGGGGCTTGTAGTTTCTGGGACGTGTAGACCAAAGGTGGTTAGGGTTTCCCCCATTCAGTAGGACAGAGTAGAACTGCCCCTTAGGGCTTCCTAGACTGTTATATATTACAGAGGCGCTGTGATGTTTAAAGCAATTAGCTGCTTGTCAAAAGTTTTGGAACCCATCAGCAGATATGTGGTAGAAAGATGGTAGTTGTTTTCCCTAAAGACTATACAGCCTTGGAAAGTGCTTTAGGGGGGCACTTCTACTCCGTCCTACGGGATCACTAGAAGTTGAAATGGCTCCACTGGTTGGGCTTTGTTTTAAATCTTCATAGAAGCAGCTCACCTTTTCCCCCTCCCGCCCCTCTCCCACACAGCTGCTGGTGGGTTCAACTGCCAAATTTTCAGTTAGCACCAGTTAAGAGTTCCTTAGATCTAGGAAAAAGCCAATGAAACTCATTGCAGATGAGTCCGAGCTTGACCCTCTGAGCAAGACCCTTGACCTAGACCCTCTATGGGTTTTGGAGCCAGCAAATCTTTCCTGGAAGAGACTGCCCATTATTCTCTCAAGCAGTGGCTGGTGGATTCAGACCACCAACTTCTTGATGAGCTGGCCAGCACCCAACGTACTTTGCCCGCCCAGATTCTAAGGAACAGCGGAATAGGACGAATATAAACGGAATGATGAGAATTTCTGCTTTAAATTAGATGGTGGTTGAGATGTTATTATGTGCAGACTGACAAGTCAGAACTTACTCATAGCCGACCCTCCGGCAGATTTTCAGACTGTAAATCACATGGGAGGAGATTGCCCATCTTCCTCCCTCAGAGCAGCTGGTGGACTTGAACCACGTGCCTTTTGGAATGGCAGCACAAATCTTTTTCACTAAGCTACCAGAGTTCCCTTGGTTGAGACAGTAAACAATTTTTTGTTTCTCAATGTTTTCTACTGGTTGATTGACCCCTCACAACTCCCCAAATCTTCATAGGTTTGCCCTCATCATTCTAATTCTTTGTATTTCATCTGTCTGTGCATTTATTCTCACTTTACTTGTCTTTCTGTCTGCGTTGGCGGTTTTCTTTTACTGTTGTTGCTGTTATATGTGGTTGAGTCGAGTAGGACTCAATGTGACCCTGTTTATTCTTTTGGCTTCCCTTAAAAGAAAGCTATGAGATATATATATATATATATATAATGTGTATATACATACATGCATATATATACACATACATACATATATACACATATATCTATATATCCAGTTTTCACCCCCCAAAAGTCAGCTATTGCATTCCTATATATTCATCTAAATTCAGCACACTCATTACCATTGACTCAGAACTGACTGCTAATAGCTGGACCACGTTTTCAGAGGCTGTAAATTGCACAGGAGGAGAATGCTCATTTTATTTCCACACACCCCCCCCCCCATGGAGCAGCTGGTGGATTCCAGTTGCCTGCTTTTGGGTTGGCAGGGCAACTCCTTCGTCAGTAAGTCACCAAAGTTCCCTGTTTATCCAGAAGAATTGAAAAAGATATGTCCAAAAAAAAGAAAGAAAAAAAATATGTCCAAAAGAATTTTGTGTGTTAATGTTGTTAAGTGCCATTGAGCCAATCTGAATCTTACCTTGCCCTGTGCCATCCTCACCATTCCTGAGATGCTTGAGCCCATTGGTATAGTCATTGTGTCGGTCCATCTTCTGTCATCCTTACTTGTTGGCCAACTTTCAGATGCATAGCAAGTAATTGAAAAGACCATGGCTTGAATCAAGTCTTGCAACTGATAAAAGATTTGGAGAAGAGAAAGAGGAGGTGAATCGGGAGTTGGACCAGGAATTTCAAATCAATCATACAAGGCTCACATGTGAAGCAATAATCTGGTTTAGTTTCACCTGGATGCAGGTGGGCTGAGCTCTTAAAGGTCAGCAACTCTTGTTGTTAGTGGGAGATTTATAGACAAAGATTGTTGGTGGGTGCAGCAGATCATATGAGAGAGTCGTCTTTTTCTTGCAGGTGTAGTGTTAGGTCAGCTGACTTTCTCTGGTATTCCTGGAATGTCCTGTTTTTGTGGATTCAGCTTTCCATTAGTAGTTGATCAGGCTGGAACTCAGGGAAGGGTTTTATCTGAGAAGTAGAGCTTCTAGAGATAATGAACCTATTTTATTTTTCCTAATAACTGACATCACTGCTCCTCAGCACCTTGGATAGGCCCTTGCTAGTAGAGTTTTCCAGTGCAATACATCTTTTTGATTCTTGGCTGCTGATACTTAATGGTGTTGATTGTGGATCCAAGTAACATGTTACCAATAACAACTTTTATCTTATCTCCCCTATTATGATGTTGCCTATTGTCCCAGTGTTGGGAATTGTTTTCTTGAGGATGAGATGTAATTTTTGTTTCCTTGAAATTGAGATGTTTTTGATCTTCTGCTGTAAGCGCCTTAGGTCCGGGGTCTCCCCTTCTTGCTCTGTCCCTCTACTCTTCCAAACCTGGTGTCCTTTTCCAAGGAATGGTCCCTCCTGGCCACATGTCTAAAGTGTGTGAGATGGAGCTTAAAAATCCTTGCTTCCATAGAGCAGCTTGTTTTCACTTTCCAAGACAGACCGATTGTTCTCCTGGTGGTCCATGGTATATCCCGTACTCTTCTTCAGTACCACAGCTCAAAGGCATCAATTCTTCTCTGTCACCCTTAGTCATTGTACAGCTTTCTGATGCATAGCAAGTAATTTCAAAGACCATGGCCTGGTAATTAAAACAGAATTTGGTACCTGGAGTGGGGTGCTGCTCTAGCAGTTATCTAAAATGTGGAAATGGTTGTGGAATTGAGGAATGGAGAAAGGCTGGAAGTTGGAAGTTGTGGTAAAGGCAGAGCTCTGGTGGCTAGTCCATAGAGCGTTGTGCTAACCTAAAGCCTATTCCTCTCTGACAGTTTGAATCCACCAGAGGCTCCTTGGGAGAAAGATGGGCAATCTTTTCCACATGGTTTACAACCTCAGAAACCTGATGGTGGGTCAACGATGAGTTGGTTCTGACTCAAAGGTGATCAGTTGTGGGAATAGTCTTAGACTTAGTAAAAGCATAGATTGCCTTGAAGAGACTGTTGGTAGAATTATGGATGGCAAAAGGCAATTCTGGTGAGGGCTAAGAAGGAAGTGAGGAGAGCTCTGAAGTTAACTTTGGTGTTTCCTGGTTTTAAACTGTGAGATTTTATTTATTTATTCCTAGGCCAAAACTTGGTTGATAGTTTTATGTTATAAAAAAGAAATTCAAGTTTAGCTTTGGTTGGCCTGTAATTATATATATATAGTTGGGCTTTGTTTTTTTCTTTTCTATATAAAGGAGAAGGATTTATATTGATGTAAATTGGGGATTTTTTTCCCCTCCAGGTATAATGATTATTAATCATTAGGAGAAACAATAATGTGTATATTTTCAAGTTTGGTTAACTAGGTTTCAAAAGAATTCTGTTTTCTTCAGGCTTATAACCTAAAACTGAAATTTTTGCCTTAATGACTAACCAATGACCATTATTAATTTATTTAGGCCAAATGAAATGAGAATGGTAAAAATGGGGGGAGGAAGAAGGAACCCCCCCCAAAATAAAATTTTCATCAACTTACTTCTGGAGTGTGGGGTTGACATTTAGATGTGCTAGAGGGTAAGTTGAGGGGCGTAGACACAGGGCTATTGTCCACAGCTGAGGGGCCAGAGCCATCATGCCCAAGAGACTGAAGAATGGGGCATGCCTAAGCTCAGGAAGGGGTCTCTGGGGTCTAGTAGGGGGAGCTGAAGCTGGGACCTTCACTCAGAATCCCTAGAGTATTGTTAACACCTAGTGTGGAAGGCAGGGCCATTGTCTAGATCATTGCAAAGAAGATTATTTTCAAACCTTGAGAGCCAGTATAATTTTAACTACTGGGTTTTGGATTTGCTTAATGCCCATCATCCCATCTCTCCAATTTCTCTTATTTATAATGGAAATGTCTATCTTATGACTGTTCAACCATTGCACTTTGGAAACAAATAATTTGTCTTACAGATTGATTTTATTTTTTTTAAGGGGACTTCTGGGTGGGATTCCTTCTGTCCTACAGATTTTTAAATTTAATTTTGTTTCTTAAAGATTTTAAAGTCTCACAGATGGAGAGGAATTTTGTCCCAGATAGAATACCCTAAAGTCTCATATTTTTTATTTATATGATTCAGAAGAAGAGATTGTGAATTTAGAGTTGATGTCAAGATTTTTGGGGTGATGTGATGGAATGAATGTGTTTTGCCGTATACCAAAGACATGAATTTTTGAGGACTAGAGAGAGGATACAATGTTACAGATTTATTGTGTCCTCTCAAAATTATATGTTGTAAATTTTTATCTGTATTCTTTTGTTTATAATCCTACTCATCAATGGAATGTCTTTGTTGTCTTGAAGAGGCAGGATGAGAATAGGATGTACCATGAGTCAATAATTTGCTTGATATTTTAAATTTTTTTTTTTTACCCTTTGAAGTCTGTTTTATCTGAAATTAAGTCATTGCCGTTCACTTTTTCATTTTAGGAGATGTTGCCACTCTTGCTCTTTTTTGATTGTGATTTGCTTGATATGAGTAAATCTTTTTTTAAAAAAAATCTTTTATATTAGTTTACATACAAAATTTTATACATTATGGTTCACAGTTTCATTCACATTGTGTTTCATGTGTCATTCTCTATTGAAATATTAAAAAAGTGAATAAACAAGCAAGTGAAAGAAGCAGAGATGGGGTAAGATAAATATTAAAACAAGGAGATGGAAGCTGAAAAAACTTCCCCTAGAGCTGAATTCAGATTTCAAGACTCTCAAACTATTGTTGTTGGTTTTTTCTTTTGTTA